AATAAATTTTTGTGAAATATTTTTTCCATTTATTGATTAACTTAACAGCTGTACAACGAACTTAACAACTTCCAATCAAACTATTTTTATTATATAAGGTAAGACACTCAAAATTATATGAATTTTGGTAATTTTTTTTTTTTTAATTTGAATAATTTATCAATCTGTAACTATATAAACAGTTAATAATTTATTGTTCACATTTTTATACAATATCTATAGTAAATATTAATTTTCAAAACACAATATTAATTATTATAATACAATATAGATGACATAATTTTTTCTCAACTAAAAAACTGTTGAAATCTAAGTAGTTAATTAAAAAAGTAGTTATTAATAATAAGTCCCTTTAAATGCCTAAATCTAAGCTATTATTCATTTAAACTGCCTACAAATTATGGTTGAACGTTATTAAAAACATTAAAATTTAAAATTGTAAAATTGAAAATAACAATATTTGGATATGCTTTACTTGTGGATTGTAAACTTTACTCATAATCTAAAAAAGATGTTTATAATATAGTAATACTCTCATTATTTGAAAAAATATTAATGCTTTTAAAATATTTATTTTACATATTTTAAAGTCATTCAAAAATGATATTTATATAAAAACTATTATATTTTTTATCATAATAATATTTTAATTTTTTTACTGTTCTTATTTTAAAAGTTTATAAATAAGTCAAATAACACGTGGGTATCTCAAAAAATATTGATTTACTCATCTACTCAACCATATTTAAAATACTTTAAACCGATTAACTACCTACTCATTCAAAATTCAATTTTTATACATAAACATTTTCAAAAAATATTCTCCTTTAAACTATGAAACTTAAAGTATTTAGTTTTTCAAAAAAAAATAAATACTTAAAAAATAAGATAGATATAAGTAGTATGTACACAATACTATATTTATTTCTTAGAAGTGTAGCTTATTTCAATAATTTAAATGTACCTGTTACATACCATGTTATTTCAACACATATATTATACGGAAAGGTGATGTGTATACCGATGGAATAACATATTCAAACAGTGTAGTATCGAACGGCTATGGCTAACACCTGCATATCGTGTTATTCAATAAAACAATTAAGACTATATCACACGTCTTGGATTTCTTAGAATCGATGAAATCGCAGGAAAGGCACCCAACTGAATAATACATTTAATTTAGAAAGCTCCTTTAGGTCATCGGAAGTCGCCACCTCCCCAGTCACCACTCTTGACGGTTAACCATATATAAGGGAGACCGGGGTAAGAGCTCTGCAGACGGTTAGGGATATTCGAGACGCTCAGAGGCAGGTCGTAACACCACTCACTCCATCTTGTGCTTATAAAATTGTATTCTTGTATGAGTTAATTGTATTAAATAAAGACTTAATCTTTTAACTTGCAAACATTAGTATTTCTATTTCTACGTTGATATATGAATCGACGTTGACATAAGGGACGCAACATACCTATGAACAAAAATTTTTAAAAAATTATAATACTTATTTTAAATAAAAAGTTTTTACTGTACAGTAAATCATTTAATTTATACTCTTGTATATATTTTTTTCATAACCATAGTAAAGTAAAATTTATTTTATCATACTATTAATATTATATAAAATTAAACATTTACTTTTTAAATGTACACATAATTACATTAAAGGAGTAAATGTTATAAAAATGATAAGTTTTAAAAATATGTATGAATAATTTTGAGCATTTTAATAAATATAATAAATAGGTAATACATAAATAATACAAATATATATAATTTGTTTTCAAATGATCTCAAAATATTAGAATCTTAAATATTGCACAATTTAATGGTAGTTCATAAATTAGTTTTTTATTATTTGCAAATTTAACAATGTTATAACATTCCAACACAAATATGGTTCTATACTCCATCTTGTGACCTAATCTAATTAGTAATCTTATAAAGGTATATGTTAATATTTACTGCTCATTATTAACTCATTTGTTTAACTATTTAAATAAACTATACATATATACATTGAGCTTGAAAAGTTAAACCATCTGAATGTTTTTAACTTGAGCAATAGTATAATGTTTCTACACCGTTTCGCCCTAAACTTTTTCCATAAAGGATTGCTATTTGGTACATTTTTCTAACATAAATTGATATGAACAACTATTATCAATCTGGTTTTCTAGTGAGTAAGTATCTTATTTTTCTAAAAGTGGTCTAAAAAAGGTTTTCTAGATGTATTTTGGATACCTAATTTAAAAGTTGTTTAAAATCCAGCTAAACTATAATTAAATTACACCTATATCAAAAATATCTACCTGCGCTTAATATATCATATCATTAAGTTAAATAATAAATAATAATATGTTTTTCCATTCAATACAATAATTTATTTGACAGTATAAATATTTTAAAACTTAATTATATTACTTTTAAAATACTCCTAAGCGAGAAAGGAAGAGTAAAATGCCGTTTTAAGTTAATGAAATTTAAAAAAAAACCTATAGGTATGTTTATTATTCGCCTATGGGCTATGGTAAAAGTATCTAAGAATTTCATTAGTTATGACTGTTATTATTAATAACTTAATATTTATTTATTATTACAGTGCTAAGATAATATAATTGCAAGTACAACAGAATAAATCATTTACAGATGCACCTGTCTCTAAATGCTGCTCTTTTGTTTTATCCACAAATTTGTTACAGTCAGACCATCATTGAGACCTAAAATTTAACGTTAACCATTTCTCAATTAATATCTAAGGGTATTTTTAGTCCTAATTATTATAATTATTACAATTTAGTTTTGTTAAGCAAATTGACTATCACAATAATATTTAAAAATAAATATTTTAAATTAACCAAACATTAAGGAAAACAAAATATTTCAAGGATTTTTCATTAATCATTAATAAGTGTTTTATGATAATAATGGTGAAATAAGTGATTTTTGTGTTTGTTTACAATAGAGTATTTAAGAGTCGAGACATTGTTTAATTACATTTTAAACATTTAATGATAAACAGCCTTATACAATGCAATATTTTCTAAACTGACAATAACTTTCTATAAAAAATAAAATAAAATAAATATTTCTTTTAATAAACGATAGACATTGTACAAAATACATTTAATTGTTTTAATCCATATTGTATCCCATGACACAATATTATGTAAACACATAGCAAAATATTATACGATGCAACTAGAAACACAAAAACTAAAATTATGACAACGAAAATCATCAATAGATTTAACCAGTCGGAAATATAAACATATAAATGTACAATTGAAAAATAAAACAACCGAGTTAAGTATTTAATACACTATTCACAAGAATCGTAGATCAAAGTTATGCATTTTCTTGTTAAAAAGATATTTCCCATAGGTATTTGTAAAATATTGTATAATTTATCTGTATTATACCACACTCCACAATAAAGTGTTCTTGCATAAAAAAAATAATGATCTTAGACCTATGTACGTACGTATCTACTTTGTTTAATACATTTTAATTCACATATTAATTACGATTCCGTAGAAAAAATTAAAAAATTGTATAATTTAAAGAGAAAAAAAAACAACATTATACTAACATTTTTAAAATTAAAAACGTATTCATGTTAATATGAACAACTAATTTTATAATTATTATTTGATAGGGAAACTAATTAAGTAAATACTTATCTACTATAACAATATATATAATACAAATATATTGTGTTTTATTGGTATTTATAAATATATTAAAGTTATTGGTATAATCATTTTAAATTGATATAGTTCAAACAAATTGAAGCATTAGAGCATCACATTTATAAAATAAAATGTATTACTCTTAAAATAACCCTTTAATAAATAAATACTATTTGTAAATAAGCCATCATGCATGATTTTACGCTTAAAAATTCATTATTTAGCAAAAAGTATTTATTTAAAACAGTTTAAAATTAAACAAGGAAATTCCTTGGCTTTTTCTCTGACATGACGTGTGAAGACTACCTACCTACTTACAAAAAAAAAATAAGGGTTTTTCGTTATCTTTGTAAGACTGTACCTACTCTGCTCTCAACAACATTTGTTTGGTGTATAAGTTGTTATTGTTGTTTACCTTGGAAGTACCTCAGAGTGGGATACCTAAAGTAAAATCGAGATCTATTTTCAAGTCTATTATTGTCTGTTTCTGATACCATCACACGAATTCTATGGAACTATGTTATTAAATAAACATTAGGTAATATATTTATTTAAATTTCACTTTTCAAATAAGAACCTTAACTTTTTTTTAAATCGTCCATGTTGAAAATGTTTAACATTAGTTCTTTAGTAGCCACTCACGAGTACATACTAATCTTAATTTTTAATTACTAAATTATTTTTCAGTTATATTTATTTAAAAGTAGAAGAATCAACGAGGCTACAAAAATGATTGAGAACTCAATAGTGAAGACGTAAAAATACTATATTTGACTTAATTTGTATTATAAGACTTATATAGTTTTAAATAAAATTAAACATCAGATCTTCGCATGAAATTTTAGGTAATGAATTTTATAAAAATAGAATATTTATTATTAAGTATATTATCCAGTTTAGTTTAAGAATACTTACCTGCTTTATTTAACATTTTAAAACCACAAACATTGTAGTTTATAATTAATTATAAAATAGTCTCACTAGATAATTAAATTCGTTTTTTCTTTATTCAGAGTAATATTATTATGAGCCTATTGCCTACCCAAAACATATTTGTATTTTAGCAATACACGATGTAAATTATTAGCTTTTCTTACCCAAATATTTAAAAATTTTACTAAGTATTAATTTCAACCAGTTTTTAATACATATATTTTAATATAAAAAATTATTTTAAGTATATTATTTTATTTAAATATATCTTGTATGAAATATATAGCTATAGGTACAATTAATATTACAAACTATTTTAATTATATTTTTATTTTATTTTAGTGAATCCTCAATATATCAAATCAATCAAAAATATGACTAGTGTGAATTTGAGCAATTTCATTAATAACACGCACCATCAATTTTTAAACTTATTAAATCAAGAATTGAAATTCGGTTAGTACAATTATAATACTATACAGATACCTACAATAACGTATTAAATTATATTTAATTTTAGATATTTTTTTTTTTTTTATAATCTAAAAAAATTATCAACATTTTGATTGGTATTTACCTTATTTACCTACTTACAAAATGTAATGTTACAATAATAGATAAAATCCTACCTATAATTAGGCACTACTAAGATATATTTTAGCTCGTGCTTGTAATGTTGAATAATATTTTATTTTATAGATAAACAAATCGATTCATGGATGCTTATGAGTACACCATGGCCAATTTTATCAATTCTGATAGTTTATTTGTTATTTGTACTAAAAATAGGCCCAAAGATGATGGAAAATCGTGAACCATTTAAAATAAAACGTATTATGATGGTTTATAATATTTTACAAGCCATGTATAACTTATTCATAGTATCAAAGGTAAGTTTAATATATTTTAAACGTAATATTTATGGTATATACAATGTACGTTTAAAATCGCTTTTTCTCAACATTCAATTTATGTCGAAAGTTTTGCTCAGTCGCTTAGGTCACTATTTAACCAGTAGTATAATTAAAGGCTCGGATATAGATGATAGATTCACCCCTAAAACTTTTTTTTTACTGTTATAAATTTGATAATAATTAATAACAATTCAATTATAAAATATTTTCAAAACAAAAAAAAAATTATGATCTTTATCACTAAATAATTAAAATATAGTATTAATTTACTTCTAAATAATTAAATGTAAATTATGTAATATTCTTGTGGCAAATTATACAACATTGTATTATATAATGTGGCGATCAAACTGATAACTGTCAACTTAGATTGTATTATTTTATTTCCCTTACTTAAATATGGCTTACTGTTTTTTATCGCTGTAGTACATCCGCAAACAACTATATTCAATAATGAATGTTAATAGGGACATCTAAGTTAATACCAAAAATTTTAAATATTATATTTCCAAATTCCAAAAACTAAGTAAATTGGATCTAATTTTTTAAAACTATTTGATAATAAACTATTCTGAGATAGTCTTAGATATTTTATAATAATCTGTAATTCATAATTGACTATAATTTAAAATTATATCGGCGAATTATTTGTTTTCTCTTTCTAAACTACGTGCAACATAGACTAAATGTAATTCATGAAAAATAATTGTCGTAATATATTTTTATAATCTGAAAGTAATTTCACTCAGTACAAAAATTGTAAAGAGTAATATTTTTAAAGGTTTGATATATTTATTCATCTAAATATTGTCTCGAAATAATGTAATATTTATTTTTAAATAAAATATGAAACCTATATAAATCAAACCGAAATCTCAAACATACTATTCTCGATAATTTTAACAATAAGTACCGCCTAATGTTACTCTAAGATTACTAATGGTGAAAATCGATTTTACGTGAATGCGTTTATTCTGTTATGTATAGATCTTAAAGAGAATATATCCTGATATTCTCTTAAAAAATTATATTTCTCATCGTAAAATGTCTTTTTAGATTGTTAGAATTGTATGAGATTTACAGATTTCACTGAAAATACATAACTGTCTCCCCCTCCCCTAAAATAAACCAAATTCTTTATTACATCACTACGCTTAATTCATAAAGTAATACCTATTAAATTATTAACTAATAATACCTTATAAAGTGCGATAAAGCAAATAAATTAGATTAATTAATTATTGGTTTTAATGTTTACGTTCGTCATATAATTGATGTCAAGTATTTCCGTTTCCCATAATCATAAATATTGTACGTGATACCGGTGATATTAAAATTATAAATATAATTACTAAATTATGTATAGGTTATACATTTTTTATTTCTTTATTCATGGTACAGCTTCAATTTCTAAGGTTATTAACTTTCAACAAAAAATGAAAGTATTTAGTTACATAATATAGTAATACAATGGTTCCTTAAATTAGGTTGTACATATCAATTTGCTTTAGAAATGCGATTATTTTATTGGTGTTGTCATGGATTGGACTGAGGGCTTTGAAGAGGTTTTCGGGCAATTCTAGACATTTTTTGGTATTTATATGATTACAAACAATGGACAAGGAGGTGCTTGACTGTGAGAGGTTCTCCGCAGGTTTAGCACATTACAAGTTCTTCCTGCACATAAGATGTCCATCTTTGAGTGATCTATACGTAGTCTGTCGAGATTATACATTTATACTTGTTAAGTATTAAGTAAAAAATGATATTATTCAAATAGGTACTCATTGAATCTTTATATTTTATTAAATTATCGAAGATAATCCCACTGACTTAAAATAAATTTAGGTTAACTTAATTTATACATATATTTATGATGTTAAATTGAGGCGACTCCTACCAAACATTTCTTTCTTTGACGAAATTTTGTTCATCGTTTCAAAAAAACTATAGTGGTTGAAATTAATTAAGCCTCATAACAAGCTCAAATGTATTCGCATTTCAAATAACATTATAAATATTGCCGGTATGATGAACTAAAAGTAGAAACATACTTATAAGTGAAAAATATTACTTGTCAACACTGATTGGTGAGTGATGACATGTACATGTACGTGAAGATTCGCTGCACTTTATAATTCAACTATACCTACAAGCTACAGTCACACTATGTCATAATATACATACATAGGTATTAGATACTCATAACAAGAATACACTTTGAAAATTGCCTTAAAATTGAACTCCTTAAAAAGCGGTCAGCATCAAATCATCTTAACAATTTACATTTTTTTTTTTTTTTTTATTCATAACTAGACATACACATTTTTGAGTTCCCGACTATGCGATATGGTAAAATATCCTTATAAATTAGCTTAAAACTTTTGGCAGATACTAAAAACCCAAAACCATTTAGAATCTAATAATTCTAAAATGTATTATGTTACGCTCGCATCATTGAAACCCATTTACGTTGATTGTATATTGTTTTAAAGCAAATTAAAATATACAGTCAAAATATATTTGATTTAACTAATACTTATAAACTTATTTTTAATTTAAATTACAGATAATTGTTGCACCCGGCATATACACATATCTAATAGTCAATGTATGTAATCCAGTTGAAAGTGAAAGTAATCATCATTTTAGAAATATGGTATGAAAAATAATATGAAATCAAATAAATTATGATATTGATAATAAAAATCCAAATTATAGATAATTAATTTTCTTTATTCATACCTAATGTTTAAATTTAAAATTAGATATACATTATGAATTATCATAAAAATAATTATAATATCTATACTTATATTATATTTTATTTCAGTTAAATTAAAATAATATGATGCTTATCATAATTTTAATTTTTAACTGTCAATTTAAAATAATTACTTGTATAATGAGTAAACATATATTATTTTCAGTTCTATATACAGTCGTGGCATTATTTTATATCAAAAATATTTGATCTTCTGGATACTGTAAGTACTTTTTTAAGTTATAAACTAAAATAATGTCATTCATACCTTTATAATAAATCACCTCATAATCAAATTTATTCAAAAAAACAAAAAAACAAATTTTAGTTTCTATATTTATGTGTATTATTGTAAGAAATAAATTACAAATTTCATATTTTAGTATAGTCATTATTATTATTAATATACTTCTGTAACTGTTTATAAGTATATACAAATACAAACGAACTACCTATATTAGAAAATAACCTCTATAGATTCTTTAAAAATGATTTGTGTAATATATATTATGTTTGATTTTAGGTATTCTTTGTGTTGAGGAAAAAACAATCTCATGTTTCATTTTTACACGTTTATCATCATGTAAATATGGTCATCACTGCTTGGACATTCTTGAGATTTATAAAAAGTAAGCCTTAAAATGTTATGCGTAATATTATATTATTTTGAAATTTGGAACCTTATGAATTTTTAAACAGTAGAAATCTTTTATAATGTTATAGACCAGGGACGGTCAAACTTTTTTCGACCACGATCTACTAAAAATATATTTCACCTTTGAGGATCGACTTCGATAAAAAAGTTTTTATTATTATTAAGTGACTATACCACCATAATTAATTTTCATGAGCGCAACCTAAAAATAAATTCTAGCACGATCGACTTTAAAATTGTTTGCGATCGACTGTTTGGCCGCTCCTGTTATAGACGTTTAAAATACCAGAAAAAATAAGTAATAACAACCAGATATAATTTTATAATTTATGATTCATAAATTATGAATCATAACAATCGATACAAATTATTACTTAGTATACAAGACATAATTGTTTTATCAGACCCTTTAATTTTAGATTAGATAATTAAACCATGTCTGTATGTATATACTTTATAGGACTGATGTCATTATTAACGAGTTATACTGTATTATATAACATCTTATATGAACTAACAAGACCTATTTATTTCTAATAAATAATAATAATAAAATTATTTGACCAAATAAAATAGAATTATGATTTTTAATTAAAGACCTTTACATTCTAGGCGAACTTTCCGCCTAATGTGTAACCTACCTATCAAGTAAATTTTTAATTTGAAGTGATTGGAAATTTGGAAACCAAATAGAAGTAACAATATTAAATATGAAACCTACTTATTACCATCAAAAATGAGATTTTTATTATCATAAACTAAAGAAATACCAATTTGCACAGTAATTTGAAAACTATTTAGAACTTTCTAAACCTTATCGTAATAATCAAGGAAAGCCTCTATTTAACATTAATATGATGTTTAAACTGATTAACGCAGTTATAGTCTATACATTAAAGATAATGGCACGTTCTGGAATAACCATGATCAATCTAGAATTTTTGAAAAATAAACGATGTTGGATTAAAAATATAAAGATAAACCAAATTTGATAAATATGTATATTGAAATATATGAACTTATTATTAGTTATTATACTATTATTGTTAACTGTGTTAAGTTTAAACGCAGTTATAGAAATAAACTGAGCTCTATAAGCTCAAGTTTAAAAATGCGGTTTTTATACCGGCTTACACAGTTACACGTAAAAAACTAACGAATAGATAGGTATAGTATAATCCAGCTGGTACTTACATGACTGTCACTATACTCACTGTAATAACAACAAAATAACATATATATTATGTTTACACAGGTCAACAAGGGGTTGTTTGTGGTATTCTTAACGCATTCATACATACAATAATGTACAGCTATTATTTCCTGTCTGCTTTTGGTCCTCAAATACAAAAATATCTGTGGTGGAAAAAATACCTAACCCGTTTACAAATTGTAAGTAAAAACATTCAGTGATATACGACTAATAACCATGTATACTTGTAGGTGCAAATCGTCGTAGTAGATACATACCTATCTCATTATATACAACTATATAATAATATACAACATTATATACGATTTAAATATTCATAGGTCACCTACCTACGTGTATTAATGCGTAGGTAGAAATTCCGTATAAAAAAAAAATAACAATTAATAACAATTAATTAACACAATATTATTGTATAATATAGTTCACAATTTTTTCATACTTATCAGTTATCAACGATTTGCGCCTATTAAAGTTAATAATCTATAGATAGGTAGTTTAGCGAATAATAATATGTATCATTTTGATTTACAGATTCAATTCATATTAGGCATTGTCTATGGTATGGGCCTTTTTTTTTACGATTGTGAATTTCCACGACTATTCGCCATATACATGATACTCGACGTAATTTTATTTTTGTACTTGTTTTTGATATTTTACAAGAAAACGTACAAAGAGAAAAATACCTAAATCTCAATAAACTCTATAAAAGATAACGAAAAACACGTAATTAAGTTGTATCTAATAAACATATTTTTCTATAAATCTATAATAAGCATATTATATATATAATATATAGGTACACATTTATACGTGGATATTCGTAATTTTAATTATTAATTGAATTAATTGAATAATATAAAGTTCGTAGGTATCTTTCCCTGATACTATTTATAGCCCCATATTTTCTAAACTTGTTATAATGGACTTATCACACAAAGTCAAATATCTCAAAAACTACTCTTTAGAATTTTGATACTGATATATTTAAAAAAAAATTATCTGCTGAATAATTTAGTTTCAAAGGAGGTTGTCATTTAAAATTTGTATTTCCGCAGGACACTTCTTAAGTAATACGAAAAATCACAATAGTTTGAAAATATAGTCTTTAATTTTTAAATATCTTTAAAAGTTATAAAAATCAAATTTTGAATAATTGCAATTTCCATTATTGAATAAGACAACGGGACTAATCTTACTTGGTGAATCACTCTAAATACCACCGACACATCATAATACACAGGTATAATATAATCATCAAGTGCTAAATACGCAAACCCGTGAGATCTTCTGAAATTCCGATTTTATTTTCCGTCTTTTACATACAGTGAGATTATTATAAGACACATATTCATCCAAAATATTCATAACTATAGAGCTAGAATTTGTACGCAACAGTGTGTTTTTGCAACTTCTGATTATTGCTTTAGTCAGTAATGTCCATCTTATAAATAGGTAAATGGTGGTGTTTTTATTTTATATATTTTTACATATTTTGGACAAAATGCACATTATTTCATATTTTGAATAAAATTAATATTATTGCACATTTCGGCTATAGAAACACAAAAAAATGTACGGTTTATGGTATATTTCGTTACGAGAAATTTTTATTGTGACCAGTATGTATTGATACAATAAAATTCAAAAAACACCTATAAGAACATATTAAAATCTAAAAGAAGACCGTTCAGTTTTATTAGTAAATGCTTCATGTAATGCATTTGAATAGTGTAAATAGTTAAGAATAATATTTTATTAATTTTAAAATGTGTTATTTTTAATTTTATTTTTAAGTGTACATTTCATATTTTTTGGCGTACCTATTTAATTTTAATTGCATATTCTATGATATTATTTTAATGAACCAAATAAATATTTGACAATTTTTTATTGCATATAAATCCTAACTCTACTCATCGCTCATTCTACATATCGAGTACATCCTATCCTACTAATAGTCGATTCCTATAGGTACCTCATTACATTTTAAGCCAAAACGCATGAATTTGGAATTCAATGTAAATATAATTATGCAGAAGATATGATTATTTAGTTAGATTTATATTTTATTTAAAAATTAGAAATCAATTATAATATTAAGCCGTATATTTGCCGATGATTATGCGGAACATATTTATGGAGTACCCTCTCTAAATGTTTGGGAAGATTCTTAAAAATAAAGTGTCTTAAGTGCCCTATATTCATCGGCATTACAATATTTGTTTCTGTGATTATTAATTATTATATTATACGATAACATTTTTTTCTAAGAAAATATTAATTAACATTTTTCACAAAAAAATAATATACCTAATATAAGTGTAAAATTACTAATAGCTAACCTAACCTTTTATTTAGTATACCGAGCTAATAATTAAAAAATTTAATATCAATACATATCACTGGCTTGAAAAGTGTAACGCGGTCGAGAAAACGATCAGTTAAATAGTTAAATATAAAATATTGTATTACTATTACACACTATAATTGATTTTTCTTCGTCCACTTTTATATTTCAAAATTAGTATGATAATGTGTTACATTATTGGTTTGTCAATTCACTCTCAAAAAAGAAAAAAAAAACATAAAATGTTATCTTGCTTTTGAACAATTCATAGAATTTGAATATTCCAAGTTTTTCTTTAAAATTGACACGTGCAGAAAAGTGTTGAAAGCTGAACCTTACATTTTTTTTTTTTTTTTTTAATATAGTTTTTATTGTTATAGTTCCAACCTAAAGCAATCCAGCAAGAACTTTTACTACTAATTTTGAAACTGTCGTGGTGAATTATTATAACTAGATAGAAACTGTGTCCAATCGCACAACCCAAATGATATTGCAAATGGTAGTTTATGCCTATCTGTCGTTCTTACACATTGGAGATGAGCGCCGCCTTTAACCCGATATGTGTGTAAAATACATACAGACGGTCATTTCCCACCAATCATTTTCTTTTTAAGACGGTTTATTTTATTTCATTTTCTCTAGTAGTTTACTCGTTATTGAATAATTTGATTAAATTTTTTTTTTTTTTTTTTTAGTCAAATTCTCCGAGTTTAGATCTAAAAATTAGTCCAAGAATAAATATCATACCTACTGTAAAAACCAATAATAGTTATATACGCGTTATTTCAACAGTTTAAGGCGTTTAAACGAACAAAACAAAAATTCGTCCGAGATATTATGATTTATATTGCTATTTTCATTATTATAAATACATCTAGGCATAGGTCATAGAACTAATATAAAAATGGTATAATATATCATTTTTTTTTTTTTTTTTTGATTTCATATTTTCTTTCTGAATACTGTATAGGTACAACACGTTATATTTATAATTTTATAATTAACAGAATATTGTACAATTGGCAGCGTGAACATGCATGTGACATGTTCATTATAGGTACAATTATAGCCTATAGGAGTATAGGACAATAAAATAAAATAATCGGAAAAGTATCGATATTTAATATCGATTCAATATAATTTATGTTAGAACTTAATATGAATAAAATATTGATATACTTAAACGATTTTTTGTACATACCGTTCTAAACACGGTGCTCGTCCTTTTAGATGTGCAAGCAAGTACCGCGTTAGAAACGGCGCTCGTCTCAAACGCAATAACAAAATAAAAGTAGTTAGTCTCCAATGTGTTAATAAAATATTCAAAAATCCTTTTTGCATGTCCATCATATTAAAAACTTAACCCCTTCTAAACAATCGAAAACAGTTTTCATATGAGTTATTGGAAAAATCTTAAGTGGTACTTGTTTATTTAATTATCTATAATAGATCACTAATAATCGGTTTAAACCATTTGCTCTGTTTACTAAAAATTCCGGACTTGGCGATACGAGGAAATAGATGGATTATGGAATTTTTAAATCGACTTTTAATAGTCCGATTAGTCCATTATTTTATCTTTCTAGTTCATTTTGTTCCATCAATACTAATCCATATGATGGTAAATTCATTATTGTTGGTATTGTTATATCTCTTACATCTATCGCTCTTAATTACCCTAAGTCCATTGAATGTTTAGCAAAGCAACCTGTACACGTATTTAAAATTAGTTTTAATTTTATCTGTCATGGTAGTGTTAGTTTCGGATTTAAATCGAACTCTAATTTGCTTGTGCTTTGTTTGTCAGTAGTTTATGTATACGGTGCATTATTGTAATTTAACGTTTCGTTAAAATTTTTTTCAGATTAGTTAGTTTTACAAATATTCATTTTATGAGAATTTGTTCGTTTATGCCTACCTAATAGTTTTTCTTTGCTTTCATTCATTAGTCTGTAACGATATTCTCTAAAATAGGTTCCGCTTACTTCGCAAAAAATTACATCTCCACCCTCGACCCAATAAAGATGATTCGAAAATTCGTGAGATTTTAATGCTGATTCGGATGTCGACAGATGTTCACAATCCAAGAAAAACTGAATGTACCAAGTAGTCGGTGTTTTGCTTAGGTCATTATTTTGTTTCTACCAAATTTTTTATGTTACAATTATCAAATGAATGTATTTTTTTGTTGTGAATGGATAAATTTAAGCGATTGTGATATTCGTCTAAGAAGGTACCTATCGGTTTGAGCGTTTCATAATACTATCAATATCGAGTATTATAGTGTACATGCGTCATGCATATAATATTATGTGAGGTTAATGGTGATAATTTTTTATTTATTATTACTGGAGTCCAATGATTGTTTTCAAAAATGATTCCTATTGTTTGTCTGTTTTCTTTCTAGTATAGGTATTATAGCGGTATTTAAAACACTATTAATCGTATTTTAATGTTTTTATACGATTATAAAATTTTTATTAAATTAAATGTTGAAATATGAATTTCAGCATACGAGAAATTATATGGGTCATTTTTTTCTATTTCAACTAGGTAGTGTATATTTTAGGTAATGCTACTTTTTTCATTTGTTGTTCTAAGCAAAATGTCCTATAAGATTTTGTAATGTCCCGAATATGTTACCATACGATGGTTTAAAAATAAAAATAGAAAATAAAAAAAATGATAAATTTAATAACACAATAACTAGATACATTATTGTCGTATAGGTAGTTAAAATAAATTAAAATATGATTAGCACTTCTAGATTTTTCATTAATTATCTAAAGGAAAAATTGAACAATTTTCAAAAGATAATGAAAATGATCTTCAATTTTCAGCCATAAATATATATTTTATCTAATATAATAAATAAATATTAAAGTAATTTACATTTTCAATACTTTATTTAAATTTAAAACATGAATGAGTCAACCAATTAAATTAAATCAGTATAAGTACTTTATTAGTTATTTAACATACCTAGACATCAAAAATAAAATTATAAATTAATAAACTGAAATTAAAGTACACCTGAGAATGATAATAATAATATACATACATACATATCATAGATCGTGAGGTAATTAATTTTAAAAACCGGTGTTCTTATGATACTTTAAAAAAAATTGTATTTCACATATTAAATAAAATACTTCAGAAATATCATAAATTAACAATTTGAAAACAGAAATGAATAAATAAAAATTGTTTACCAGCTAATTAAAGTTTAGAAGATTTGAAAATGAACATAAATAATAAATCTATCCAAACATATATTTCAAACTTAATCAAGTGGCCAACACAATATATCAATATCTATTGCTTCTGCTACATATGATAGGTCATTTTCAGCCATGAAAAGATATACAATTGACTTAGAAAATATGGAATAAAACTGTTATCAATTTTTTTTAAATGTGTATAATAAAATTATAAATACAGAAACATTTTTTAATAAGTTAGCGTTAAGTAATCAAAAAATTATTTCAAAGTAAAAAAAAAGTCAATAAAATAAAAATAAAAATAAAAATAAAAATATTTATTATAATTTAATACATTTTTAAATATTGAATTGTTTTTAAAATAATAAAATTAGAATTTGGGTTATTGGAGATGTAGAACAAAGCCTCTACAGTCCATTTTAGTACATAACAATTTTAGCCCTCCTAAAAATATTATATTAGTTGCACCTATGGACTGATATTACTGCACACAATTAATACCAATTATTAATTAGATTCGCATAGTAAACATGCCTAGCTTTCAATTGGATATAATTGGATATAAATTTACTTAAACTACCTTAAAACTGCAAAAATAATAAAATGTAATTAAAATACATAATTATACTTTATAATCTGAGAAAAAAACAATGAATAAATGGTAAGTTTTACATTTATTAAATTTATAATATTAGCAAAATTTTATATTTTCTAAATCGATCAAATACAAAATTGAAAAAATAAATTTAAATTATGCGCAATAATACTAAAATAACAAAAACACTAGCAAACAACTTATCTCCGTTTGTTTTCAAATTTTGATTCTTAGTCTTATGCCCTGTGTAATCCACTCGACCTATTCTTGCTTTTTGGTCTAATATTTTAAATATTTTATCCTCCATAGTTCTGATTTTTTTCAAATTATTAATGGCTTCTTGACCTTTCTGTTGATCCAAACCATAACTATGCATCCCTAAGTACTTTATTGAAGCATCTATTACATGCAATTGTCTTACTATTATCCCTAATGTCTGGGCAATTCTTTCAGTATTAATATCACTTTTTTTAACATATAAAGAATTATTAGACCAATTCCATGTATGAAAACATTTAAGTGCAGTAGCCAAAAGCTTACGATGTGGTGATAAAGTGATCCCCATATCAACAAATTGATCATTACTTCCAGTAAGTAAATTTTTAAAAGTTATATTATTGGAAATTAGATTGTCTGCATAGATATCCATTGATAATGTTTCTAAAAATGATTTGATGTCTAGACTAAAACCATTTTCTAATTCTGTCATAACTTCATTCCAGTAAGGATGTTCTTCTTCTGAATAATAAACTTCTAGCTGTTCATTTTTATAATCTATATTTAATAACTTTAAAATAGCAACCATGTTTTTATTTTCAGCTATTCTATACACTGTCTGATATTTCTTGTCAACGACATCTTTGTCAGCTCCTTTTGATAATAGATATTTTACAATATGAACACGGTTATAACGTACTGCAAAAAACAAAGCCGTCTCTCCAGATTGATAATCTTTCAACTCTATGTCTGCACCATGGTCGACTAGAAATTCTACCAATTGCAACCAACCATTGCAGCATGCATACATAAGAGCAGTGAATCCTGTTCTATCTTTAGAATTGATGTCAATACCATCAAAATTTGCTAAAAGCTTTAGACAATTTAATAAGTCTAATTCACTAGAAACACTAGCACAATTACATACACACATTATAACATTATGACAGTCATACTCTATTAATGGATCAGCGCCATTCTGTAAAAGATATGTTACAGCATCTAAAGATCCATTAAATGCTGCATACATCAAAGCGGTCCAACTATTATTTAAATAACTGTTAACATCAACAGTTTTCGAGTTTAAGGCACGGGTGATTTCTGATACGTTATTTCTTATACAAGCATTTTTCAATGTTGATTCAAAATCTTCTGCTTCTGGTTTAACATGATACGATGAATGTTCAATAATATCGCCAAATTCATCATACTCATCATCGCTTTGCCAACCAGCCGGAACAATGTTTTTCTTAAATTTCATTTTGATGCTTATTGGAACTAAAACAGATAATATTAAACATTAATAGTTTATACTTCATTCTAATAAATTTAACACATATGTAAACAAATAAATTAGACTACGAATATGTAATCACTACTCATATTCATAATTTTTTATTACCACATAAGTTAAAACCACATACCAAAGTACCTTGGTACTGATTATTGGTAGGACAATATTATTATTTTAAAATCAATAATAAAGCATTTCAACTTGCATTAATACATATATATATATATATTGTGACATTGTACAAACAAGCACAATTTATTAAAATATTTATCATTTTCCAAATTACTAACTTAAATATTAATCAAAAATTATTGACCACCGACCAAAGTATAAATCAGGTATAAATTATGCTATTTAAAAATATATGTAGAGATTTTAAGGTATTTAAAAGTTGAAATATTGGTCTCAGTCTTACAAATATATAACATAGATACATAGTAAATTACTGTGTTAAAAATATTCTGTTGTACTCTATTATTTTTAATTTAATAAGAAATATCAAATTTAAAAATAAGAATATTATTTATACTCTGTTCAACTTCAGAAGTGTACTCAACAGCGACTAGTTTTCATTAGATAGCTGTTAAGCAATACTCATGTGTCACCTTTAAAAATCTACCGAGTATTTACTATACATTATGTGTACAACTTGGCAGCCGATTATATATCTTAAGTTGAATAGAGCATAGGCTATAAGCATTTTAAAATTTAGAAAAAATGTATTACAATTTTTACCTTTAAATTTGATTATATAGTATTATTATTATAATTTGACATTAAACATACTATAATATATTTTTAACATAATAACATTGATTATTCTGAGTATGAAATAGGCTATGTTATGGGTTAATAAGACCAAGACAACACCATATGGGTATAATGTCAACTTAATAAATGGATTTTTGTCAATGTTATTAAAAATTACTTAGTAAGGTTAAAGTAATCAAATTATTATTGAAAAATTGTCTAGAAAAATAAAATTAGATGATTGGTGCAAATAATACAACTATATTGTAGCCTGTAGTTTTATAAAAGTAAAAAAATATTAACAATATATTATAATTTAACATACTATTGCATAATATGTATCATGTTATGATGCCAACTTTCATTTACAATACTTAATTCGCCCCTAATAATATAAAAATCCTAGGTATACACCTGCATTGACATTTATTAATAATATTTTAAATAGATATTTTTCATAATGCAATTTGGTATATAAAGAAGTTAGTTAATTGTATCTTGTATCTCAATACTTTTTTGTTTTGTATATTAGATTTTTTTTTTTATGTTTAGATAATAAATACAAATAAAGCTTACTGAAATGTACCAGCTATCAACTATTTGTGTCTTATGAAAAATGTTAACTAACTGGTGTACAAGTGTTGTTAATTATATTCAACATAAATATTTGCTAAAAATAAAAATCATAATTCTATAACAGACAAAGACAATAACATATTAATTTGCAGAATCTATACAAATATAAAACACACTAAAATGTAAAAACTAAGACTATAGTATTTTTATAGTCAAATAAAATTAAATGTTTGTGTTTAAAACAAATTGTTCAAATTGAATTTCATTTTAGAATTAGTGTGATTAAAATAAGATGGATTACAATACCTGTTTTGGGTTTTTGTTTTAAAAATGTTTGTTCAGATTTCTGAATATTAATGTTAAACGTTGGACACATACTTTGATAATAAAAATTTAAAATAAATGTCATATCGGTACAACCAAAAGCAGTAAACATGATTATTCTTTGATGCAATCATAGTATTTCAATAAAATTGAATACATAAAAAAACAGACATGTCTTATAATTTAATAATTAACAGAAAATTAAAATTAAAATCACAAAATTCAATGACATTGATAAGGTAACATAATGGTTCAACTGTACAATAGGTACTATCTATTTTCCAATAATTAATTAAAACAGTTGCCAATGGTTAATTCTACATAGGTCATACAATCATACAAAATGATCACTTACCTGATGGTGTAAAGTGATGCAATATAGTTGATAATAATGTACACTTCATTTATAATTTATGCATGATGCGATTCAAACATTTCTAACAGATGTCAGTTGATGTAACCCATTGAGTAATACTCAATATTACTCAATGATTTAATCGTTAAGTCGTGAAGACACGGAGTTCTGTACAGTATTTATTAATCCAAATTCCAAAGTTAGTTTATAACAGTTGAACTTATTATTGAATTATTGTCAAAATGTCAAGTTCAACAACCGTTTGATTCTTCACAATTTCACATGAATGGTGAATGTCTAGTATCAACATGACTAATTTTATTGATAAGATGCTTAATTTGTTTAGTATAATAATATAATGTTATGGGTATTTACTATCCTAACGATTTATATTTTTAGTTTTACTGTACCCACATCTTATAATTTTATTAACTATCGATACTGATAATCGTTATTGATTGTCAATATATTTATATACTATTTATGATTTATCGGTCACTGACTTCTAAATTCTGTTCAATGATCACTACAAAATTCGATTGTATACGACTACTTACTACGATTTACCTTTTTAAAAATATAATTGGCTATTTCAGTCTTGAATGACTGAAGAAGCCCATAAAAACCATACGATTGTATGCTAAAAATATAAAAAAAATGGTGAAGTAGAATTTAACAATCTTGAATAATAATAATGAAGACCTAGAATTGCATATCTCAGAACTTTTAAGTTAGGTATCATTTTTTATTAAGTTTAAAACCTTAAACTAGTAGAACTTAAACTTTAATTTATATATTTAGTTTTATCCAGATATAAATAAAAGAAAATTTTAACTGATTAACTGATTTATCAACGCAAAGCTTCAACCACTGAACGGATCGGACTCCAAATTTGGCATTCAAATATCTATTCTGTAGACACACCTACGCTAAAGAGGATTTTTGAAAATTCCATCTCCAAAAAATTTAAATATAAGTTTGAAATGTATAAAAAAAACCGGTTATACGGAAAAATACGCGAACTACAAATTAGATTAGAATTAAAATGTGTAAAAAATTTGTTTATACAAACAAATTATTTAAAAAACTTAACAAAATGCAAACGATGTTGCACAGGATGTTGTTGGTTAGGTAGATATTAAATAGTGTTTCATTGAGTAGATGAAACGATCTGCTATTATGGACAGTTGTCAGTTGTCATTAACAGTGATTAAAATTTAATGAACTTGAATGAATAATTTTAAATAAAACTTAAAAGTAATAAATAAGTATTAATTCTTTTGGCTATTATTCTTTACTAAAATAGAAACAAATGCTCTAAGCGGAAAATTTTTAATATAAATATATAACACAATAATTGTGCAATAACGTTTATTAAAAATTATCTTAGTAATGTAGCTAAGCTAGCATAGGTGACTCGGCCTTGATGTATTATTATTTATTTCTATAAAAGCAAAATTTTATAGAACGTAGCAGCGGTTCCCAAACTTTTTTGGTTAATACGTCATCACTCATCACCCACAGATATAATTTACAATAAGCTATAGATAGTCGACTATGTTTTTGCCAGATTTGCTTATGCATCCAAATTCCAAATATGAATCCTGTCCACCATATTAAGTAAGTTGTGCAATGTTCAATGCTTACAAAAACAAACGTTATAAATTATTGTGATAACAAAACAGTAGTACACAAATTTCAAATTTTAACCTTTTTTTTTTTTTGACTCCTTGATTAATTCATTCAGTCGTGTGATATACTCGACACTCGTATCGTATTTTTATTGAGAGTTAGAATTATATTCTAGAATATTTTTATTTTTATATTTTCTGCGATAAGCGATTTATAGACATTATGGTGTGCTCCTGAATAGTGTCCATCAGTTGTGGTGATGATGTACTGTATGGTGTTCCGTACTTCCGTGTACGACGTTAGATCGTAAATAATTATGTATAATAATAATATATCATATAAAATTAAAATTAATATTATTGCCTTATCGCCTATCGGTGATCCTCAAAAGCTTCTATAAAATATGTGCGTCCACGAACAGTCAAAAAACAATATCATAGGACAAAAATTAAAGTAAATAAATTGTTATCCGAACATTTTGACTGTATTGTTTGAAATAAAAACGTCGATGCGAAAAAAATTGAATTAAGTTACAAATGTCTCAAAAAGTATAAAACAGCGTGTAACTATTTCTACATTTCACGTTACTTTTTTACGTTACTGAACACTGAATAATAGTACTTAAGTTTTATAAAATATTAGCATTAGAAAAATAAGCACCTATTGCCTTTTTATCATTATGGAGTTTGCATTATTTATTATTTAATATTTTATTGCATTAATGTTAAATAGCTAATTTTTTTAAATTCTATATTACTATACACTGAAAACTCTACAACGAATTTGAAGAGTGAAAAGACCAAGAGATTTCTTCTGTTTTAAAAAGTTTTCGAAATAGTTTAAAAAAAAAATGAATTATTGATATATAAAGATATGTATTTATATGAATATTTATCATACATATCATTATTTTTACATTACAACATGAGTAGTGAAATTAGTAGTTAATTTCTAATTACATATTTATTATTTTATTTTATTATTATATGTATTATATTTTATACAATTATTTATTTGAACTAGTTTACTCTCTCAATATATTTATTTTTTTTTCTATACATTTTTTCTACGTTTTGGGATAACTTTAGATCATTTTTATGAAACTATAAGTATTTTTCTAATAATTTAGCAACATTAAGTTGAATATTTGGTATTATGACTTCGTCAAGTTGTTCTTCCTCTTCATTTTACTTTTGCTTCTTCTCACCTTTTGTTACTACCTATATTTAGGATTTCTTCATCAGTTAACGATATTGGTATAAGCAGGTTCTCGTCTATGTATACATAATTTTGTAGATTCTCGAGAGTAAAATTATGAGGATAGTATTGAACTGAACAATCCACTCAGTGGTATATGATCTTCTCTCGCAAATTGTCCCATTTTTTAATTTATAATAAGTAATAACACGAAATTGTGTTATGAAACATAAAATATTTTTCCGTTATTGAGAGTAACAAATACGTCATGGAAAATGAATTGAATAATGAGTTATAAAGCAAACCAACCATTAATATGTAATGTTTACGCTATATAGTTTTTTTATTGTAAAAAGTTCCGTTATAAAGAGTTTTTATTGTATTAGTATCCAATATTCAAATCAGTTATTTATCACATAGGTACTATGATATTTATAACAGAATGTAAACATTGCCCAACTTATAACATTTGGCAGTCAAACTTCAATTTTATTATTAAACGTAGCGGGCTATCTAGTATTAGTTTATCATTATTATACATGTCTGTGTTATCACTTCTAAACGGAAAAATGTAATCGCATCTCCCCTGAATAAATTAATAATCTTTTTATTACAGATTGTAGGTAGTAGAAAAATGCATATATTATCAATATTTACATCGCTGAGCTCGCTCCTCACAAGTCACAGCTTTTAGTACCTATCGTTAATTTTAAAATTCCGAATTCCATGTTGAAATTTGAAAGTTAGAACAATTAATCTATTTATTTTTTTATTGTGTATAATGTTAAATACAAAAGTGTGGTACTGTGCCACTGTGGTGTACCAAATAACAATCTGATGGATCAAGAATCGTATATGATAGCGCTATCTATTAATGAAAGTTTGTAGAACATGATAACTGACTAAGCTGTGTATGTACTATATAGAAAGGAATTCTCTATTTTATTTTATTGTGTTGGCCATTCTGACAACTAAAAACTATTGGAATCTATTCCGTTTTTACAATAAAAAATGATACCTAAATAGTAAATAGTTTATAGTTAATAGTGTTAATACTAATTTCTATATAATATATGAGTTAGTTGCTAGTTTGTTACTTTGCTAGTCCGAATCTCCGAATTTCCCGACTTCTGATTAACTCGAGTAAGTGATTCACGTTCTATTGTTCTGCGATTTTCACAAAATTCTTGTTCGTTTCAGCATTTAACCTTTAATATTTTTTTTGTTGTTTTTTATTTAATTTAGTATTAACATTCTCTAGGCCCTATAACTGTAATCAAGTAACTTTTGACGGTTTACATATCATTTTGGCGGAAAAAATTGTTCTTAACAAAAAGAAATATGGCACCATCAGCTGCAGTAAGCAAAAAAGATAATATTCCATCGACATCTGAAGATTTTGATTTAGAGAAGACTGCTGAAGAAGCAAAATCTTTGATTGAAAAAGTCATCAAAGATGTGGGCAAAAAATCTGCAACCAGACAGTTGATATTTGGTTCAGCATCTGGATGGTACTACATTTAAACTCTTATTTAGTTATAATGTGTTTTATTAATACATGAGCTATCATCTGCAGGGCGACTGGTTTTATAATGATGAAATTGGGTAAAGCTGCTGCATTCACAGTTGGAAGTGGTATATTAGCACTACAGCTGGCTAATTCGAGCGGTTATATAAATATTAATTGGGATAAATTGACCAGAGGTGTAGAAAGAGTGGCCGAACGAGTCGAAGACAGTACAAGTGACAAAAAGAAAGGATTATTGAAGAAGGTAACTTATTCACAATATAATAAGTATATTAAATGTATTATGTCCATAAACATTTCTCAATTCTTGTGTTTTCCTACCCTTGGCGAGATTTATATGTTTTCTATGTACTAATTATCTTTTAGGTCAGAGACATTGTAGAGACCAATTCCATAATGGCTGCTGGATTTACGGGTGGTTTCTTCCTTGGAGTCGCCTACTCATAAACAGATTTTCTATGCGCAACATTTAAGAATTATTTGCACAACATTTTACTTATCACAAACTAATATTTAGATATTGTAACTTTCATAAAATAATAGAAATAATAGTTAATTAAAAGAATTCAAGAAATATAAAAAAAATATATAAAATTTACATAATATTCATTAAAACTCTATATAAATTGGACATAAACCATCAATTATTTTTAAATTTTGTATGATATTTCTTGATATATGATCCGATTTCAGGTGGGACGCTATGTCGACAAGAAACTAGACAAAGCTGAGGATTTATTAAGGAAGAAAGAACGCAAAGCTAAACGTTGGTTTAACCGTATATCTGGTGACGAGGAAGAGTTTGTTTTTGAAGAGATTCATGTATTCTTAGCATCTTATTTAGTTGGCCTTGTTCTTGGAATTTCTTGTGGCATAGTTACTCGCTGAAACGATCATTTAACAATATACTTTTACGCTACAAAAAAATAATTTAATTTTTAATAATTGTTCGCATGTAAATACCACTACTACTAATAGTTCCATATTAATAAATTTAATTAATTTGTCAATGAAAAAAGGCATTTGATTTTTCATTTATTTACTAAATATACTTAATTAATAATTATATTGTATTATCATCATACTTTTTTTTAGTTTAAGTATTGTTTTGATACTAGTCAGTTCAAAATGAGTTGTTCCATTCATTTATGTAATGTTTTGTGATCAAATAAATTATGAGCCTAGGTTTTTTGATATCTTGTTTATTTGTATTTTATTGCCTTACAATAGATTTAATTTTACAAAGTAAAATCATTTTGTGAACTGTTGTTTATATACATATACTAACAATAGTATTAATAAATAGTGATTTCATTATGTTTTTAAACTATATTAATCATGTGTACAGATTTTACTATAGATTTTATATAACAGTCAAAATAAAATAAAAGGTTAAACTGTATACTTTTGAATTTATATCATACAACTTTCGAAATGTACATAACTTATTCAAAAATCTATTGTCACTATAACTCAAAAATTTCTAAATTAATTTTATCAAATTGAAAAAAGGAAAATTTTATAGTTTATCATGCATAATAATTAATAATTACAATCAGTAAGCAGTGGTAACAACTACTGGCATGACCAAAAAGAAATTTTTAATGTAGACATGTAATAGAATTAATTTGCAACACATATAACATATGAAGTAATAATTTATTAGCAAATTGTGTTAGTTATTATTTAAATATTGTAATAATAATAATAATAATGAGTACTTATGGATCTAAAATAAATATTTTATTTGAAATGCAATTTAAAGCAAATAGGTAACTAAAAAATAATTATTTGTAGGATTAATACTTATCGTTTACACATGAGAGTATTTCTTAATAGGTATTTTACAACAATAAATCGTTTATAATATACAAATTAAAAATTAGTTATATAAAATTATAACTATATTAATCTTAAATTCTGATATTAGGTAATACTTAAGTTATTTAGGAAGTTTATATAAAAGTTAATAGTTTTGAAATTATTATTATACCATAGAATTATTTTGATACATAAATAATTCTAATAGTAGTTAACCACTCTATCTAATACAACATTTCAAATCGTATAAATATCTTTAAAATTCTATACAATTGTTAATTATGAAATTTGTTTACAAACCAATTTGTTTGTATTATGGCCACTTATATAGTGAATTTTTACCAATTAACTAAAAAATCAAATCCTGTTTTTGGACAGGTCTCTATATTATGATTATCATGATTATCATCACCATCATTATCATCATCATCATCATCATTGTCATTATTAAGAAAATTATAAGTAGAATCTTGAATTGTTTGTTTAGGATTTATGACTTGTGGTGATAGTGGTGGTGGTGGTGGTGGAGGACATTTAGGCTTTGTTCTATCACTTTTTACAGCTTTGTTTTTGTCTTCAGTTGGCATTAGCGATTTGAAAAGAGCATTAGATTTAATTTTACTCATGAGTTTGTTGTCTTGCGATTCTTTAGTTACTATTTGTTTCACGACTGTAGCTTTACATTCATTTGCAGAGAAGTTCTCTCGGACACTATCAATGTGTTTGCATAGATCCAACTGACTTCGTGTAAACCAAGAAAATCCACCTTCTGAAATTTTTTTCTGAAAAAAATAAAATGTTAAAACATAGTATCTTCCAATAAGATTGAATACAAAAATTGACACTAATAAATAATGTAACTGTCAAGACATTACTGCCTGCGTTTTAAAATATCCATAACATAATAAAATTATAAAATAGAGTAGGTTTAAGTATATGTCCAAGTATAGATTAAATAAAACACCCTCCAGTGGTCTCAAATATCGGTAGGTGATTAAATTATTTTGCGCACAATAAAAGTAAACAAAAGTCACGAATGACGTACATCTGGTTTTTTGTATTTTGAATATTTCAGCACAGCTTCCGGACTGATAATCGATTCCTCTAGTATCTTGTTTTGTTCGTCAAGAGTCAGCTCAAGCCATAGATATTGATACGAATCCTTGGCAGCGTCAACATCCTTGCGTATGCGTTCAGCTATCGGATTGATCGTGTACAAATAATCGTAGTAGATGTTTTGGGGGGACTGATTGAGATCCATGCCAACCACTGTAAAAGACTGTAAAAGAAAAAAAATACAATACAACACACGTTTCAGCGGCTGGTCAAGGTATTTCGGGTGTAAACGTTAACGAACAGCGATCGAAAGCGATGCACGCGAATAGGAAGGCGTTTACTTCTCTGACTCCTCACCTGTAACGGATATAAACGACGATGCCTATGAAAATGTTGTGATTTACAAACATGCGTTCACATCGCCATCAAATCGAATTTTCAACCGCTACTTAACGTCAGACTGATGATTGAGGGCGACGAGTTTCATGGATGATTTATGACGCTGTTAAAGGCAGGCGGTGGTTAGTATACCGTTTACTGTACGTTGTACAATGGCGAAACACATTTTTTTTTTTTTTTTTTTACGTTAATATTAAAAAATATTACACACGATAGTCGATGCCGACACCGCAATGTCGGTATTTACTCAAATTGTATAGTGTATTGTATTATTCACTCGAGATTAGAATTTCGATATCAAAATATGACTCGACGCTTAACGTTACACGTGATTAAATTTAATAAATTCTGAATAATTCCGATAACAGTAGGCCGCTACGATTTACATAATATTGTTATAATATTTATAATCATTATTAATCAAGACACACAACTGTGAAAAAAATTGTTGTACTGTTTTGCCCGTGTCTTGTGTTGTGTATTTAGTTTTTTAGCATCACGTCTATTCTGCGGTATTATCTTCGTGTAACACGATAAACAAATATAATTTAGTCGAGGCGTATTAAAATCGTAGTCGAGACGACATTGAAATAACGTTAAGAAATTTAGAATATACAAACAACAATAACAATAACATTAAAAACTGATAACTAATGTAGGCAACTATGCGTAGTGGTACGCACTACACACAAATGCACAACGCACTACTCGAGTGTCGAGATTGAGAGATTAAGGTAACGAGCAAAAAATATTATAATTAGTAACCATACCGAGTAATGAGTAATGACTAATGAGCGACTATATAATGACCGACGAGTACGATATTACGATACCATCATAATATCACAGAATTCTGTGTGTCTACGACCAATGACCATAATGTTGTTATAACACGTATTTTTGTGATAAAATTAAATTAATATTATTATTGATTTACTCTATTACTACGTTACTATACGATATAGTACAATGCCAAAATCGTTAATATTATACTAAAGCCTATAACTTATAAGTAGGGAACGGATTTGAATGCAAATTGCATTTTTTTCTGATTGTCCGAAAACATTGGTTTCAAAGCAAAAAGTTCACTTCATACATCAAGGAATTAAAAAATGTAACTTTTATTTTGCATTTTTAAGACTTTATTACGTTTTTAGAGCATTTTTTTGACATTTTTAGTGCATTGTTATGTTTTTTAAGTTATTTTTTCAACATTAATTCTAAAAAAATAAAAATACCTAAATAATAATAATAATAAATATTTAGGTATTTTTATTTTCATAATAAAGTTACGAAATTACGAAATTATTGTTGACACGTGTAGACACAAAATACATACATACAACTATACAAGTTGTATGCCGGTGACTTGGACATTTTAATGGATAATTGAGAGTTAATTAATTAAGGTTGTATTGTATTTAAATATTTTTTATTAGATTTTTCATAATAGTGTGTGATATTAACACATTTTTAAAGTTTTTTAGGGCATTTTTTTAGTACATTTCTTTGATTTTAAAGCATTTTTTTAAGGCATTTTTCTTGTTTTTTAGAGCATTTAAATCCGTTCCCTACTTATAAGTAATAATATCAATAACTATTAATGTTATAGGTTATTGATCATTCATAAGTAGGATGTTTTGGTATGTTTAGATGTTCTGAAACCTCATCTCGATCCCTCGTCTTTCCTGCATCATCCCTCATTCTCGTCCGACCACACACCCTCCCCACCCCGCATCCCTTATCGTTATCCACAATTAGGCTTTTGAAGTAGCTATTCCACCTTACATTAGGTGTACAGATTAATAGATAAAATCTCATATGCTTTAGAAGAAAAACTCTAATGTACTGGTGCAGCAGCGTAGCCAGAATTTTTGAATGGGAGGAGTAAGGTTTAGGTATATAACAGGGATGGATAACTCAAAAATTACTAGAGAGCCATTTTTTAGAAAATTAAAATCTAACGGGTGAGAATATAGAAAGCAAAGCAAAAAAATAAGTCATTCAAAATATGCATTTTAACTATAATTATTTTGTTTATAATATAAAAATATTTAAACTTCATAATATTAACTATAGTCTTCTTGTTTTGATCGCTAATTGACCGAATAATAAAAAATATTAAAATAATCAAATAAAAATCAATGGGAGAGGGGGAGTGGTTTACAATACCCAAACCCCCCTCTGGCTACGCCATTGTAGTGGTGCATTTCTATAGGTTTCCCAAGCTTTTGATAGTCTAGCACGCCGCGGCGGTCTCTCATACAAGCTTAAGCTTCTTCTACCCAGTCATTACTACTTAATCCTAAAATCCTACCTAGAAGACCGGCTCTTTTCAGTTCGAGTACCTACTACAACCCTTAACATAATATATTGATTTAATAATGCATTTATATATACTTTAAATACTCTGGATATTGTATTAGTATTTTATAGTAATATAAAATAATTATTTTACACATATTATAAATTTAAAAAAAAAAATAATGAAAACAGTAATGAATTGTCTTTTTTAATAGGATAGGACATTAGGACATAATATTATATATCAACATTTTATATAATAAAACAAACCTCTATTTAATAAACATAAATATAATATAATAAATAAAAACAATTAACAATATTTAATTATTATTTAACATTTTTAAATAATTTTATTATTAAATGACAAAAAATTATAGTGATAATTTCAAACTTTAACCCTTTCCACCGTTAGCAACTCAGCAACTGTGTCAAGTATTCGATCATATGAAATTTCAACATATCTTAATGAATAGATAATAATGCGAGTCCGGAAAGTCTTGACTCTGAAGTTGAATTCCTGAGGTAGGTACTGTGTAAATTATATTTTAAATACTTAGGTATTCGAATACTTGAATATTTTCATTTAAAAATATTTGAATATAAAATAAAAATTTTTTAAGTTCAATAAATTTTATGTTGAAATATTTGTACGTAAATCGCAAATAGATATGTAAGTAGGTATTAAATACCTACTTAAAAAAATAAAAAGTATTTAAATTAAACAGTAAAATTAATATCTATCTACATACTTATTATTTTATTAATAGGTCTAAGAATTTCAGATTCCGACCGTGGTTAATTTTTCTGTTATCAGCTTATTTTATGACTTTTTATTACCTTTAGGCTATAAGTTATACATGGTTATTATAATTATAACCTATTATAAAATACGAAAATATTAGTCATTGTATTTTATCATATCTTAAACAACATAATATTTTGTTCTTTAATTTGATTCACACCTATTTGATAAAATATGTAAATTAATAAATTATTCGAACTAGTTATTAGTGCTTTTACTTATATATAATAATTTGTATTAAATATTAAAGAGGTCCAATATTAACCTTTAAGGATTATAAAATCTTTATATTTATGAAAAAATCATGAGAAGAAACTAATTCAAGTTACTCGATACCTAGTAGGCTAATGACCCATAGTCCCCAATTCCCCATCTGTTATTTGTAGTATAATAACATGTTACCTAGTGTTTATTTCCTTTTTCTATGGTTACAAATAACAACTCTGACCACATCGTTCACGTAATTAAACATTTCACATTTTCACAATATTTACTCATTTTTATATCTTAATTCGTGTCTACGAGTGTACACTATACTGTCTATACTTTTACATACAATCTTATATCAACTTAAATTATAGTTAGCAGTTGCAACTTTACGAGCAGTTAAATTAAATGTCATGACAATTTCTATTTTCTAATACGTGATACTTAATAGTTAATAGTTATTAGTTAATACTTATATCAGTTAATCAGTTAAATCTTTAATTTTGAATTCAAAATATTTCTACTTCTTATCAGTATTTTTAATTGATAATAGACAGCTGCGTACACGAATGATGATGAGTGGCAACATTGCGTTGTTATTATCAATAATAATGTGTACAAACTACAGAATACATATATTAATAAAGTTTCTATCATCTATGTGTTGTATATACAGCTTAGTTAAATAGTATTAATACTAATAGTTTACTATGTAGACATTTCTTACTTTTTACTTTCGTGAATTCGTAATTTCAGAACATTTACGATCCGAAGACTTATCAGACGTACTGAAATAGTGTCTACAATTGTATAGGTTTTCAAGTGTTTTAGACATGTCAACGTCCGGTGAGCACATTTTTTCCACGATTAATTTCAAACATTAATATTCATTGTACTTATCAACGTTATTTTGCTTATAGAAACTACTAACGGACAAGTGGCTACTGCTCCGGTGGCACCGGCTGTTGATGCTCCGCCAGAGTCGAGTGTTTCAGAATCTCAGGTATTGATTTATTATTGTATCAATAATAGAATATAATTATAACAATAGTGCTAAGTCTAATACTAATGTCTATTTTTTGTTAATTTTACAAATAAAGAAGGTAACTTCCTCCGAGAGTAATGCTAAAAGGCTGAAAAATCCCAAGCACAATGCACCCATGCGCCAATATTTAGACCAAACTGTAGTACCAGCATTGTTAGTAGGCATGAAGGAGTTAGTCAAGGAAAGGTAAAGATATTTGATTATTATTTATAATGTATCATATTAGTACATAATAGTTAGAGACGATGCTCACTTAAATAGTATATTATTGATGTTTTTCTAATGTTAATTACATTTTAATGTCCTATAATATTCAATAATATTTGTAAATATTTTTATTCTTGCAATGCTGTACTTAAATTTAGTTATTTTAAATTATTATGTTGTAAAGGTGCAATAGCTTGGTTATGAATACATTTTAAAAATATTATGTTAAAAAATTGTTAATAGCCTCACTATTTTAAATTGATTTATCTCAATTGTTAGTATTTGATTAGGATAATATATTATATTTATTTGAGTTTTTTTGTCCCATTTAAATTGAGAAATATACTTTGAGGTTGCTTAGTGTTACAGTTTTATTACTTAATAGGCAAACATAATTTTGATGGTAGACTCGTTGGAGGCAATAAATAGGTTAGGTTAGTTCCTTGATTGCTGCCCATCATCGATTATGTATCTTGAATATGATATACTTTATATACTATAGCAATATTTTTTTTATGTATTATTTTAACATTTATATTAAATTATCAAACTATTATGTTAACCGATGATTCAGTAATGTTAAAAGTTAAAGATAAAATACATATGTGTATTTTAAAAATTAAAAACTGTTTCTAATTGTTATTCTTTGTACTTTCAGACCTCCTGATCCATTGGGTTTTCTAGCTGCATTTTTATTGAAGTATAAAAAGGAACATGTTGACAAAGACTCAATTTCAGAAACATAAACAATTTCATTTTCTTCTTCAAAAAAAAAATAATTAAAAATAATAATTAATAATTAGACATATATTATAATCACGTCTTATGCTCTTAAATTATTTTTTTTTTTTTTTGCACTAATATTCAAATAATATTCATTTTGTGTGTACATAAAAAGTTGTTTGTTTACCAAGAAAATTTAAAATTTTTTCTTGTATCGTAGAAGGCTGATAAAGCATTACATTTTTTTTTATTAAGGGTTTATAAAAGCTAAATTTACTGTTATAACTCTATAATAAAAATGGTTTTTAACCCCATTATTACTTTTATGTTGCCATGGTAATTGAATCATAACAGACTAATATGTGTAAAAGCATATTCAAATCATGTAGTTCTCTCAATCACAATGGTGTTGTAATTATGATTTATTGTATTAATTAACAATTAAATGATTCATTGATTTTATTTTATAGATTAAAAAATCTAATTTCAATATAATTATGGAGTTATATTATTTGATAGTTTTTTTAAGTTTTGTAAAATTTTGCTTATCTAACAGAGAAATTGTTACATTTATTACACCCGAAAACTGTTCTGATCGTGAGTATTTTGTTCCCAGTTTAATGTCATGTACACAATGTAATGATTACCAAAAATCATCTTTAGATCGTAAGTAAAAAACATAAATGATAAAATATATTATAACAAATATGTTATTATTATTTTAATTTTTTTTCTGTAAATTAAGGGTTGAGTTGTGTTTGTGAAAAAAATAGTAGAATTGTTGATAATGTTTTGGAATTATCTTGTGAACCATGTCCATCAAACTTGACAGCCACATCAGATCATCTGCATTGTTTGAAGAAGACAAACGTTTCATGTGGATTAAAAAACATAGAATGTAGGTTATATTGATTATGGTAAATACCTATTTACATTTGCACTCATGCACTACACAGGAAATAAATAAAATATTGATACTGAATTAGTCTTTATATTTTGTACATATTAAATTAAAATAAATGACAATTATTTGGTTTCTCTTAAATATCACATTTAATTTAGAAAAAATTGGCATAGATTTTATTAATTAATGTTAAAAATTTTCCATGTACAACTGGTAATTATAAATAGATATAACTGTTTGTATACTCTGTCCATTGAGAGAATATGTTGTAGCCCGATAAAAATTGGTTCTTCTGTGCATCTACAGATGATATTCTACTATATTGAAATTGATCTCTATAGCAGTGTTGACTGAGGATGCACAAATTCAGCATGTTTTCTAGATGAGCAGTGTAATAGAAAATATTTATATTTTAAATTACTTTAACTGATTATGAACAAAAAACAATTAAATAGAACGTATTTAGTTAATTCTGATTTTATTAATATTTTCTCAATTTTCAATTAGTTTTTGGCATTCTTATAAACCATAATTAAAATTTAAGTCGATAATATTTAGTTTACAAATTCTATTTAATAGTTAATATTTGCATCAAAAAAATTTAAAGATATTTCTCTTGCAACATATAAGTATAATCCTACATTCAATGTAAAAGTGGCATTCACTAAAATGTAGATGAATTTATATTAAGTTAAATTAATTAATTGGAGAAATGGATAAGTTTTTACTGTACACAATGAAGGTATAGGTAAAGAATATATATGAGTCATTACTTACAATTTATTTGAGTAGGTATTCTAATTCATAGTAACTTGACTCTTGAGACGTACAAAACTAACTCTTTACAATGTTAAAATACAATACTATTCAGCTAAGAAAAAATACCAGATCTTTCATAGATTTGTTTGGAAATATCAAAACAATTAAACTTTAATTCCATTTCATTGCTTTCTATAAACATTAAACTTAAAAATGTCTAAACCTTCTTTGGGAATATTCAGTTATGTTTTATTTTATTATTATTGAGTAATGTGGTAGGTATTAAAATAACTAATTTTACAATGAAGACTGTCACAAATAGTATAAAAATATAATAAACATGAACAATTAATGAAATGGGTACCTATAAATGATAACAATTTTATTATTATTATTAAAATAATCAGCCATTGATAGGAAACATACAAATTTTTGTTCAAGTTCAGCTTTAATAGATTAATTGGATTAAGTCACAGTTAATTATTAATTTAATTTAAATTTTCCATGCCAAAATTTTAGACATTTTCAAATCTTGTTTAAACTAAATTAGATATGGCACAACTAGCGGGTGAGTTAGAAGTTGGTAAAGTGAAAATTCGAGATGCTCGTGATTGCTTGGTGAATAAACAATAAAAATTGGTTCTTAGTTTTTTTTTCACATTTTATAATTATAATATTATTTTATTATAAACATCTATGCATTTTATTTCTATATAAAGAAATAATTATATCATAGTTATAGCCTATGTAGCATATTATTCTATGAGTTAAACCATTATACCATTGAGTTAATAATATTTTAGTTTATAAAATCAATAGTATAAATATCTAGGTACTAAATAGATGTCGAGAAGTCGAGAATGTTTATTTCCTAAAAATAAAGAACTAGACAGGGTGATAATCGATAGAAGGATCTAAGTGAATGCATTTGATAAATAGCTTATATTTTTTACTAAATTATATAATTGAACTAAAATTAGGTTGTTCATAGATAGTATTATGTTTAAGTAAAAGATATTATTCCATTAAGAATAAGTAACTATGGGATTCAAATTTAACATGATTAACTTATTCCTATATTACAATATAAAATATTCTTTTAATACTTAAATACCCATCCAATTAATTATGAAAATGTTTGGTAGGTAGGTACTTAAATAAAATGGGGTGAAATTTTTTTATTATTTCTTTCATGTACCTAGGTACATATTTTGTAAGCAGTTCAAGAGATACCAAAAGTTAACATAGAGAATGTAGGTATATATTTTATACATATTTAGATAATACAGTTCTATCTGTAATATTACTTAATGAATGATTTTACATATCAATGTTATTACTTTTATTAAATTTAAAGTAAATTACCAAAATGTTATGCTTATTTTTAGTAATATAGGTATACCTAATTTAATAGTTTAAACAGTGAGTACATTATTTCTTAAATATTTATTTAAAATATAGGTAATACCTACCTACTATATAATATAATATAAGATTCTGTTATAAAAAATAATATGAAAAATTTATAATAATTTTAAGTTTTGATATTTAATACCTAGGTACTTATCTTAACCGACTCATCCAATTATCATTTTGAAAACTCTCAATCACTCTTATAGTAGGTACTATAATGACACCAAATTAACACTCAAAAAAATATAATATACAATTATTTTTATTTTTTATATAATACTACCAACCTAGGTGGCAAAAGTAACTTCGGGGGATGCTGAACATTGAGCAAACGTGGATTAAAGATCTATTATTGGCATCGGAGATTAGACCCCGTGCAACACTTAAACCTCAATTATTTTAACTTAATAAAATTTTAATTAGATAGGTACTATTTTACTGAGTTGCACATGAATTGCGTCTCGATATTTAAAAATCAATAAGAAGGTGACATGAATTGCGTCCGACATTATCTAAATAACTACACGAATCGCGTCCGACTTTATCCATACCTACAACTATTTTATAATTATATTTTTTCCCAGTTCTATTTCAAATGGTAAGGTAACTTTCAAGCAGATTATACTTTTAGTTTGTATACTAAAATGATGTTTTTACGTCTTATAATTTTTTAAATATTAATTTAATTTTTTAATACTAATTTAATTTACATACCTACTTCTAATTACAAAAAAAACGACAAAAAAAAAAAAACATATTTTTAACTTACCGATAGTTATAATGTGCTTTTAACAGTCTTAAGTCTGTAGGAAAATTATATGTTTTTACGTCGAGACGCAACTGGTGTACTCGATAAATATCGTTGGGACGCAATTCGTGTACTCAATAAATATTGTCGGGACGCAATTCATGTGGAAAATGAATTTCGGGACGCAACTCGTGTACATCGATTTTACTGTTAAATATAATTTAAGAATCTAAAAAGATCAATAAATGATAGATTTTACAAGAATATGTAAGTTGTGTTTTTTGTAATTATGTATGTTTTTTTTGTTTCTATTTCCACCTTTTGGAGTAGTAAAAATAATCAATTTTAAACTTCAAGTATAGTTTCTAGTAGAAAATGAAATCTATTTAGTATTTATTACAGTAAAAATTCGCAGTTTTTCAAAATAATTGTGAAAACAAAAAAACAAAAAAATAAAGTTTTTTTTAAGGAAAATCAATTTTTGACAAAATTCATGTTTTTTTTTTTTATTACCCATAAATAAATAATAAAAGGAACTTGAAATTTGTATCGAATGTTCATATCATTATCGTTAACTAGGCATAAAATAATTTTATAAATAGTTCAGCTTTTTTTGTGCTATTTAAAAGTATTTTAAATTTTGGTAAGTGTCTATAACTTTTAAATTATTTTGGCAAAAAAGCTTAAAAATATGTATACCTAATATAGGTATATAAGGTTTCTCACACATTTGTTATAATATATTAATTAAGAAATATCGAAAACACATAGTGAAAATTTATAGCTATACAATATATATCTAAACCTATCACAGATTTTTTATAGACATTTAAAGTTTAAAATTTAAATGTACAAGAAATAAGAAGAATAACGATTTTAGTAATTTTTTTGTAAGTTTGTATCAAATATATATTATTATAACAACTTTAGGTATACAAGTAGTAATAATTATAATTATTAATATATATATTATTTTAATGTACTTCTATTATTCGCGAGGTTCTTAAAACTATTACAATGTGATTATATTTTATATACCTATTCACATTAATATTTTCGAACATAGGTACTAAAACTCATTTCAAGCTACCTATTGCCTATTTATACCATGAACCTTTTCCTACTTATTTACGCTAAGTCTATAAGTATTAATTCATAAGTTAATAAAAATAAAAATGAATAAATAATACTGAGGTCTGGTGGTTGGTATCAGTCACTTACGTGTTTTTCTGAGGTTGAGGATCTGTAGGTGTCGCTAGTTTTTGGATGG